TCTTCAATGACAAAATCTTAAAGTTTCGTTATTTGGCAACACTTTTTTCGAGATGCCAAGTACATATATCTTATCAGTTATCTTATATAGAAGTCGTACCGTAAAGTAAGATGTTTTCAAATAACAATGTTTTCTTTGTGGTGAAGGATTATCGAAGAAAATACTCTCAGCAGATTAAGAATCAAGCGTTCTCGTATTTTGAAATCTCGATATCTAAGATATTAAAGTCGTGTAAATACGACATTTAATACCATTTTAAAATCGAATTGAATGAGGATTATTTGACGCTCTTCTTATTTGTTTACATGTTTTTATTGAATCAAGTAATCCTTCCTCGATTTCGGATATATCTTTAGAAAAAAATGGATATGCTCATACATGTATTATATGTATGATGGATGGAAAACAGTACCAGCATTTCCAAGTAACGGGTGACCTCTACAACAGCAAATTAGACCTCGTCTTTTTTCTGAGAATTAATTTTCAATATGAGATTGCCCATCAACCCAGTTACTTGAGCAGTAAAAACCACAAAAACCACCTTTGCTTGTTACAACATTGCATTTGAGTCTCTGAACTGCTTTATCCTGAGTATAAGATAATAGGGGAAATTAGGGGCGGTTTTTAAAGCTAACCATTTCATTCATCAATTTTAGAACATAATGTAATTAAAAATATTAATACTATTGACAAATATAAAAAGCACTGAAAATATATTCACAAATTCTCTTAAAAATTACTTATCTACACAGAATTTATAATTTAACTATTTACATAAACCCTTTTACCCCAATCTTTAAGTGAATACCTAATAAGGTATATTATTATTAGATTGAACCTTAAATGGATTAAGGAAAACCTTTTATATTCATTAAAAAACCGAGGTTTAGCAAATACTTCTAACATTTTAACTGAATGATATGATGTCGAGTTGAGTAATTGATTTTTTAGTTTTTTGTTTGATTTTTCTAGTAGTATTTTTATATCGTATATATAGTTGCCCTCCTTTACATTTAATTACGTTACATTTTTATATTGTAACGCAACGAAGTGTAAATAAATCTACAATTCTACTGTACGTGTGAATGAAACTGAACTCCTCTTAAACGACTGGATTTGAATAATTTTTAGAATGCGTTTGGGTGGCGCCCTGGATGGCTTAGATTCACAAATCAGCCCGGCAGATGAGACTGCAGTCTAAGCGCTTGAAATATCATGCAGGACAACCTCTTTCGGGTTCGCTAGTTGTTTTATAAATATTGAGAAAAAAACAAACACGTACAACTCCTTAATGATGAATAAACATTATATTTCTAATAAATTAAACAAAAAATGAATAACCTTTATTTCAATATCGCGAAAAATTTCTAAAATCGCGTATGAAATTTATTAAGTTTAACATTATACTAATACAGAAAATGTATTAATAGCATATCATACATACAAACTATATTATTATTAACTATATATACTACGTTGGCTCTAACGTAATTCCATGAACGGTCCACCTGGAGTTTTGGTAACACGCGTACAACCCACGAGTTGTTCCTAACGAACTACCTTAAATTTCTAAAGTGTTCTATCGAGTTAAAAGACGAGAGAATGGTAGTTCAGTTAATAACAAATCTTACTTAAAAATTGGGCTACATGTCATTATTATCCATAAATAAAATAAATCGGTTACAACCTTCGTAGGTCTCAGCCTTAGATTTCTGTATCTATTTAATGATCATTTATTTATCTAAGGCAAGTAGGTGATCTATCCTGACACACGCCATCGACTTCTTGGGTCTAAGGCAAGCCAATTTCCTCACGATGTTTTCCATCACCGTCCGAGCGAATATTAAATCTGTACATAGAAAGTAATTTCATTGGTACACAGCCGGGGATCGAATCTACAGCCTCAGGGACATTGTTATCTATACTAATAATAATATTATAAACACTGTATTATTTCCAAGATGTTTAATGTCCCGTTGAAAACTGCTACGTAAATATAATATCATACAACATTTTCATTGTAAATATCGATAGAGTCCTTCAAACATGTAGATCTGACCTTACATACAAACTGCATTAGCCACCGATAACTCAGTTACATATACCTTGACCCACCTGCAACATCTGTAATTTGTTTATACTTGAGAGAGCTCTGTCCTAGAAAATATGTCGAGAACATGAGCGGGTCAATTAATATGAGATTTTAAATATATTTAACGATATTATGAACAATAATACAGTGGTGCTACGACCCTATATGGGTCTACACCATAGATAGACTTCACCACAAATAGATTGTTTTTACTTTTGTCACTGAAGGGGAGTATATTAATTTCGCACATTGGAAAATAAATTATTGCGAGCCATGATTCGAACGCACGACCTGAAGATAAATTACAAGACCCACAAACATTACTCTAATAATTACCAATTATATATATTGTAGCTGCATAATTTAAGATTTTCCATATTTAGGTCGCCTGTTTGAACACCTGCAGTGCACCAATTTTTCTTATGTGCAACACTTCTGAAAGAAATAATTGTGATCAAAGGCATGAAAACCCCATGAAATATAGAAAACTGATAAAATCCTAGTCTTTGAAAGTTACTGTTAAAATTAAGATACATTATTATAACTAAGATACATAATAATTTTCGTATTCAAATTTATTGCTTATACTTAAATGGGTAATTTTATCATTCATTAATAAAAACGGTTCTGTTTATTATGGTGTAAATTGCATAATTTTGCGGTGCTTTGATATAACAAGACAATTACTACATTTCTATTAAAATAATGTATAATATTTTGTTGATAACATCATTTTCTTCCAAATTCTATTTAGGGTTAATTAAAATTAGATAATTTTTACGCGATGAGACCAAGGATGTATTTTTATTTGGAAAGGTTGTTTATCCAGGCGTTTAATTATAAAAAATCACGCTTATACTATTGGTAAATTTAATTAATAATTTATATTTAAGCGTACTATACTTAAGATGTATTAAGTAACACCAACATGACCAGACCAGACATGGCACAGACCTCTAAATAAGGCATCAAAGGGGGTCAGTTAAAAGTTTACACAAATACGTACAGATATTATTAAAAGTATGCAAAAAAACCGTCAGCCTCCTACATACTGCGAATATGAAGCGAAATAGTTTTGAATTTCACAAATGGTATTTGCTGAAATATTCACAGTGTATATTAAATTCCGAGATATGTATGGTTTCGATGCTGTATTAATTAAACTTGGAACAAAATGAAAAGGCTTCGCTATATTGAGGTCTTCCTGGAAACTGGCCATAGCTGTTGTGTAATTGGGGTTTTAAATTAATGTTTCACTTTTACGCGAGTCATAGAAATATTGTGGAGATATCTTTTTAATATTTTAACTTTAAGTTATAATTAACGTTTATAATCGGTTTATACAATCATTATAAAATAAAGCCTCGTTTATTAACTGATAAAGGTGTATACGGCAGCAAACACCAGCATCTGAAATTTCATCAGTTCGTTGCAGGTTTGCAGTCTGGAGATACACTCCTTGGAAATGCGTCAAAAAGGGGCAGATTCCACGGCTCGCTAACTCGTGTGATATGTTTGAATGATACACATAGACCAATAGGCTCATGATGTCCTTTTTTTAACATTATTAATTTACAGAGTCGACGTAACCTTAAACATAAACAAATATTTTAATGTAAATCGCCTTAACTTTAACAAACTCATCAAATTCAATCATTTTAGATTTTGAATAAAGACAAAAAAGTTTCCAAACTCTTTACCAACAAACTTGTTAAAATAAAATGAATAAATTTGGTGTTTATTAAATTTTCTCAAGTTGTCACAATATAACTGATAAATATTCAAAAGACGTAGGTATTTGAGGCAAGGGTCGGAGAGAATAAACTGAGTGAGATTTATTTTTGAAAACACAAAATTTCTACACACAAACTTATCAAGACTTATTTAATGGCATTAAAATTATTATCCATTATTGTTTTGTTTCTGGCTTCAGAAATGAAATATAATATAATAATAAAAATATTAGTACCTTACTCGCGCGAATATTACATAATCAGCTGCTTTGAAGGTATGTATTACAAACTACAAGACACTATCTTACAAATTTCAAATAATATTTTAGACTAGCCGCCTAAAATAAAAATAAATATATACGTATACAAAATATTTATAGCCATTATCTATAATATAAAATAAATTCTCGTGTCACAATGTTTGTTCCCATATTCCTAACAAAATACATTTCGTTATATTTTATTCATTTAGCCGGATTGGGGTTGTTCTGTTTCGTACGAGACAGAACAACCCCAATCCGGCTGGTCCCCGTGGTGTTGCACGACCACCATCCCCCCATAGAAATAGAAATACATCCCTGTATCAAAACAGAAACTACAATGAGACTTACGTCGCAACGTTAAACGTTAGAACGTTAATGTCGGTCAACAGACTACAAGAATTGGATGAAGCTATATATAGCACCTATAAAATGGGATGTCATAGGTCTTTGTGAAGTAAGGAGAATAGGAGAAGAGATAAGAGAATACGAGAAATACATTTTTTATTCTTATGGAAAACAAAAAGGGATATATGGAATGGGATTTCTAGTAAAGAAATATTTAAAAGATAAAATAATTAACTTCCAAGGAATATCAGATAGAATCGCCGTACTTAATATTCAATTAAGTGAATCTAAACAGTTGGTAAAAAATCAAACAAGGATGAATTTGTCTTAGGAGAGTACTGTAATGGTGACAGAAATGACAACGGACAAAGGCTAATAGATTTTTCTTTGGCTTACAATTTTAAAATAATGAATAGTTTCTTCAAAAAACGAAAGTCGAGAAAGTGGACATGGTTAGCGCCGAATGGCATAGATAGAAATGAAATAGATTTTATACTTACGAGAGAAAAACATATATTTAATGACATTGAAGTACTTAATAAGTTCAATTTTAATACAGATCATAGAATGGTAAGAGGAGTTATTCAAGACAGGAACAACAAATCAAGAAAACATATTGTACACTCAACCATGAACAAAGCAATAACATCCCCAATACCACAAAATATATTGAATGATCTAGAGACAACATTAAATGGAATGAAAGATTCTCAAACATTGCAAGAGAAGTATAATTTTTTGGAAAAAGAACTTATAAATATAAACAAATCGAGTGCGAAAAATGAGGTGAAAAATAAGTTGGGAGAAGAAACATTAAAATTGATGAAAGAGAGAAAGGAAATGTTATACAAACGAAAAGATAATAAACAAAATATTGCAAATATTAGTAAGAAAATTCAAGAATCGATAAGAAAACATAAAAAATCAGGAAGACTAGATATTTTGAAAGAACAAATAGAAAAAACAGGCGGAATTAAAAGAGGTCTAAAACAGTTAAAAGAATATACACAATGGATACCCAACATGAAAACTAAACACAAGGGGAAAGAAGATACCATTACAACAAAAGACTATCAATAGCGAAAGTAGCGACAGATTTTTACAAAAACTTATACACGGAGACAGACAGAACAACGCCAGAAGAAGAAGAAAAGGTAAAAATACCTTGTATACTAGAATCTGAGGTCACACAGGCTATAAAATCACAAAAAAGTGGAAAAGCTCCTGGAGATGATAAAATATCTAACGAACTACTTAAACAGTCTCTACCCGCGATAACCAAATATGTGACTCTTCTTTTTAATGAAATAATAGAAACTGAACAAATACCCATTCAATGGACGAAATCAACCATCATCCTACTACACAAAAAAGGTGACAAAAATGAAATAAATAATTATAGACCAATAAGCCTGAAGTCCAATATATACAAAGTGTTTTCTAAAATAACACTCCGGCGAATATCAAAACACCTGGAAGAAAACCAACCGAGGGAGCAAGCTGGGTTTCCGATGATTATTCTACCATCGACCATATTCTTGTTGTGAAGCAAGTAATTGAAAAGCTCAATGAATACGGGCAATTGTATTAAACTCAAACTCAAACTCAAAATATCTTTATTCAAGTAGGTAACCAAGTACACTTTTGAATCGTCAAGTTAAATTAATCGTAAATTTACATTTACTACCAGTTCGCAAGTCAAGGGCGTAGAGCGGGTAAGAAGAACTGGCAAGAAACTTTCCGCCACTCTTTTTAATCGCCAAGTATTGTCATACAAATTGTTTGAACTGGAGCAATTCAATCCCAAGGATTAGGATCATTTAAGTAGTCCTCAAATTTATAAAAAGCTTTGTTGATTAATTTTCGTTTAACGAGGGCTTTGAATTTATTTAGTGATAATTCTCTAATTTCGCTTGGGAGCTTGTTGTAAAAACGAATACAATTTCCATATAAGGAGTGGTTTATCTTTTGGAGCCTGGTTGGTCGTACACTCAAATTAGTTCTATTTCGCGTATTATACTGGTGAAAGTCACCATTTGTTTTAAAATCGTTTATATTTTTTTGGACATACAACAAGGCTTCAAGAATATATTGACCAGATAGTGTCATAATATTTAATTCCTTAAACTTATTCCGTACCGACTCCCTCGGAGAAACACAACAAATACCCCGAACAGCCCGCTTCTGCAGCACAAATATGGATTGAACCTCTGCAGCAGCACCCCACAGTAAAATGCCGTACGACATAACGCTATGAAAGTAGCTATGGTACACAATTTTAGCCGTGTCCTCATCAGTAAACTGTCGGATTTTCTTTACTGCATATGCTGCAGAGCTCAGCCTATTCGAAAGAGTCTCTATGTGTGGGCCCCATTGGAGTTTACTATCTATTGTTATGCCTAGAAAAACAGTTTTGTCAACAAAGTTTAGTTCACTGTCCTTAATTTTCAGGTTACCAATATCTCGCTTTACGCTAGTAGTTGTAAATCTAATACATTTTGTTTTATTCTCATTAAGCAATAAGTTATTTACATTAAACCAGTTAACTATACGAGAGATAGAATTGTTTACATCGTCCAATAATACGTTATTCCTATTCACTTTAAATAGAAGTGAAGTGTCATCAGCAAACAATACCATCTCATGAACTTCGTTGACAAAGAATGGGAGGTCATTTATGTAAATCAGAAATAAGAAAGGCCCGAGAATCGATCCTTGGGGGACGCCCATTGATACCTGCGAACCCGGAGAGGTGACTCCATTGACATGAACTCTTTGGATCCTTCCCTTTAAATATGAATTCATCAGGCTGGAAGCTTTGCCATCAACGCCATAGTGTTGAAGCTTTCCAACGAGTATATCAGGATGAACACAGTCAAAGGCCTTTGACAGGTCACAAAAGACGCCGACTCCATCATATGATTCTTCCCAGGCGTTAAATATGTCCGAAATCAACTTCACACCGGCATCGATTGTGGAGCGACCCTTAGTGAAACCATACTGTTTATTATGTAAGAGTTTATTTTTATTAAAATGTAAAGAAAGCTGGTCTAGCATTATCTTTTCAAAAACTTTGCTCAATGCAGGGAGCACGGAAACAGGTCTGAAGTTTGACGGATCAGACTCACTACCGGCCTTGAACAACGGTGTAATCTTACTTAATTTCATTTCGTCCGGAAAGACTCCACAATCGATACATCTGTTAAAAATTATAGACAATTCAGAGCTTATTACATTAATAACGGAATTTAAAATGACAGTTGACATACCCCATATATCTTTACTTTTTTTAAATTAATAAGCTTAAAAGTTTTAACGATATCATTACAAGTTATATGTTTAAACTGAAATTTAATATTACATTCAGGTACACATTTTTCTAGCAATGAGATCGCAGCAGCAGGTGAAGAATCTAGGGACTTGGTCGTATTTAGTGGTACATTTGTAAAGAACTCTTCAAAAGAAGAAGCTACCTCTGGGTCAGATTTTATTAACTTCCCTTTAACTTTTAACATATAATCAGTTCGTTTGTCAGACGTTTTACCTGATTCTTCATTTATTATTTTCCAGGTAGCTTTTACTTTATCCATGCTATTTTTTATTTTTGAACTTAAATATTGAGACTTTGCAGTTTTGCAATCTTTTTTGAAATTATTTGAATACAACCTAACATATTCCCTAAATTCCACACTAGTGTTATATTGCATTTCGTCATAGATTTCATATAATTTTAACCTTTTCCTGTGTAACTCCTCATTTGCCCAGTCACAGAAACTTGTTTTCTCAGAGACCAATAAAGTCTTTTGAGTAAATACTTTCTTGAATTCATCAATAAATGATCCAAAAAAAGTATTGTATAAATTATTAGGGGATGAGTTGCCACACAGAATTGGCATTCTATAGACCAATGCTTCTCTAAATCTGTCCAAACGGTCATTTGTAATAGGAGTTATCACAATTTTCTTCTTTTTACATGTTTTTTGTTTCCTTAATTGGAATTCAAACCATTGACCAGTGTGATCAGATTTAAATCTATTGAAAATACAAACATTCAAAGGGGCTATGTCACTATATATATTATCTATACAAGTTGCGGTGCTAGCTGTTATTCTTGTGGGTGAATGAAATTGATTTATTAAATTGTATGAACGAAAAGACTAAGTATGCGTACACTTAAATTAGAATGACAAAGTAAATTGACATTAAAGTCCCCACACACAATTAGCCCTTTATTACACTTTACTAATTTACACAATATCTCCTCTAATACATTTTCAACATTATTATAGACAGCTGATGGAGGACAATATAGACATACAACAATGAATTGCTCCAGTTCCACACAGGAGATTTCAATAGTTAGTTCTACAGAGAGGCTGATAATATCCTTTCTTTCTTTGCATTTAAGTTTTTTACTTATTAGGATTAATGAGCCACCATGAATTGCATTTTCTCTGCAAAACACACTACCAACCCTGTGGTTACAAAAATTAAACAAAACTTCATATTTTTTTAACCAGTGCTCTGTTATGCACAAAAAGTCTATTTTTTGACTATTCAAGAATAGTTCAATTTCTAATTCTTTATTTTTCATCCCCTGTATATTTTGATGAACCACAATAATTTTTTGGGAATGAATTTTATCACATAATATACTTACCTTATTATTGCAAGAGTGGTGCTCTGTTGTCCTATTATCTAATTTAAATAAATATTATTTGGAATTTCTTCCAAGGTCTTATAATCTAATGCTTGCTCAATAGAAGCAAGGGGTCTAGCCAAATTCTTGGCTGTCATCTCTATAAAATATGATAGCGAAACAGCTATCTGTCTTTTTAAGAAAGCAATTATATGGCATTCGTCGATTACAATAAGGCTTTTGATTCGCTGAGTCATACCAATATCTGGAAAACGCTAGAAAATCAAGGAGTAGAAAGAAAATACATAAAAATCATAAAAGAAATTTACAAAAACACCACAGCAACAGTCCAACTTGAACAACAAGGCGAAGAATTTAGAGTTCAAAAGGGCGTTAGGCAAGGCGATCCACTTTCCCCAAAACTCTTCACTGCAGTGTTAGAAAATATATTCAGGAACTTAGGCTGGGAGCATTTTGGAATCAGTATTAATAGATTGAACCTAAATCATTTAAGATTTGCCGACGACATAATAGTTTTCGCTGATAAACCAAGCATACTACAAACTATGTTACAACAATTAGATGATGAAAGCAGGAAAGCAGGTTTATCAATGAACCCAACGAAGACTAAAGTAATGATGAATGCAATAAAAGAAAATATAGTAATAGGACAAGAAAATATAGAATATGTAGATGAATATATTTATTTAGGACAACTTATTTCAATAAAAGACCAGTATTCTAATGAAATAGATAGAAGAATATGCAACACTTGGAAATGGTACTGGTCTCTAAAAGAAATAGTTAAGAATAAAATAATTCCCATGGCAATAAAAACCAAATTATATAACACTTGTATTTTACCATGTCTTACTTATGGATGTCAAACTTGGCCTACGATGAGCAAAAACAATCAAAAGCTAGTAGTTTGTCAACGCAGCATGGAAAGGAGCATGCTTAATATAAGACTACCAGATCGATGGACAGCTTCGAAAATAAGAAAAAAAACAAACGTCAGTGTCGTGCTACAAAAAATAAGAAAGCTTAAATGGAACTGGATTGGACATATAATGAGGACTAACAAAGAAAAATGGACTAAGGATGTAATAGAGTGGTATCCGAGAAACGGGAAAAGAAAACGAGGAGGTCAAGTTAAAAGATAGGAGGACGATCTGCCAAAAGGATGGAGAAGGGCTGCCAAGGATAGAGAGATGTGGAAACGATTGGGGGAGGCCTATGTCGACAGACAACCTGACCAAAGTGGTTGCTAATAAATAATTATTATTTCGCTATGTAAATTAGATCTAAGAATGCTACTGTTAAATAAGAATAGCATGTAAGTTAAAATGGTCAGTGAATAAAGGGCTTTTATTATTATAATTATTACATTTCGTTTGTATGTACACGCAATGTTCGATGATATTTCATTATTAACATCGTTCCAATTACGGTCCCTTATAAATTTATTGCATGCTCCTTGAAGCTAATTGATATAATGCGGATACCACACAATTAAAGCTACTCTATAGTTACTACTCGTATAAGCTATTAATATAGATAGTTAAGTTATTATACAGCTATAGTATTTCAATATTTTTTTAAATACGATTGCTTAAATCAAGTTTTATACAAAACAATTCACGGTAAGTAGTATTTTGATACGTATGAAAATATTTTTTTACTAAAAAAAATACTTTTTTATCTTTTAATATCTTTGTGGTACTGAAGACTCTATGAAGAGATACATATGGTAGTTCTAATTATGAACAAATAACATTAATAGTTGGAATATACATACCAATAAAGTAATTTAGGAATAACCGCCATGACTTAGTTGGTGGGTTTGACTTATGTGAAACAATAGTAGTGACATGCGCAGAAGGATCTTGTTTATAAAGAAAAATAATAATGAAATAACACAATAGTAAATAACAGTTTAGGTGCGATATCAGTCAGTCAGATATTATCAAAGATAATATTTCAGCAAAAAATATAAAACTCTTTCTCAAATAATTTAAAATATGCTTAAGAGAAATTGCTGGACGCAAAACATTTAGAAAATCCACGGCAGTCCAACCAAAAATGTATGTTAATGAAATTATCAACATGATACCTTTGTGCTCTACCCTAACATCAAAGGGAGAGACTGTACAGTATATGTCGTTAGATTCGTGGGTTAGAACAACCCAAACGGAAACAAATTATTATATGAACTTGCAGGGTTAAACGAAGAAGATATAATTTGTTGATTACCCTCTGTGTCTTATTGTGAGAGGGGTGAATCTATTTCAACAACTTTCAATACTTGGGGAAATAAAATCAAAAGTATGTTTGCAAGTTTAGAGCAGTACTGGCCAAGTGGCTTCAGCGTGCGACTCTCATCCCTGAGATCGTAGGTTCGATCCCCGGCTGTGCACCAATGGACTTTCTTTCTATGTGCGCATTTAATATTCGCTCAAACGGTGCAGGAAAACATCGTGAGGAAACCGACATGTCTTAACCAAAAAAGTCGACGGTGTGTGTCAGGCACAGGAAGCTGATTACCTACTTTCCGATTAGATTGAGAAATTATCATGAAACAGATTCAGAAATCTGAGGCTCAGACCTAAAGAGGTTGTAGTGCCACTGATTTTTTTTTATCTCTTCAAGTTTGGGCCACTGACAACCAGGTATAAAAGTGTTTTTTAACACCATTGATGTCAATTACCTAATGAGACTATCAACAAATGTAAAACAATAAATCACATCTGATTTGCATTACAAAATACATTATTAATTAACGAATCATTTAAAACAAAGCCTTTATAAAGTCTTAAGAATATAAATCGCGGCACTTAATACCAAGCAATACTTATTAAACAACCTTTTGCGGTGGAAGCCCTCCGACAGTTACAAAAGTCTTCTAATTAAACTTCTGTATGAAAAAGTCAATCAACCCTTCGACTTAGCGAAAGTACGGCCCATTCACTGCAGACCCATGTCAAAAGCATCGCAATCTCTTGTCGAGATATTCAATATACGAGTTCATTCATCTTACTTTTTGTGTAACTCTGAGAATGTACACGGCCACAATGGACCAATGCTTTGAGAAGTTTGGAAGGCCTAAATAACTGAGGGACGGAAAAACAGGATTTTGGTTCTATTACCTATTTACCTAGTTAGTGATAAAAGTAAAGAATGGTATATAATTTACCTTTTAAATGCATTTAGCTCATAGTCACAGTATATATCATTTTCCTCCAATAGAAAATATGCCTTTTTGGAAATAAAGCTACTTTCAAACAAGTTAAGCATACAGTTTCTAAATAATAATAGGAGTTTTCGCTTACAAAAGGGTGTGAAAATGCGCTCAAATAAAGGCACTGGTAATCCTTGCGGTTTTTTCACGAAAAAAACTATCATTTACTCATTTAGGTAACTCAATATACTCTGTTACACTTATAAGAGTCAGAAAAATTATTCAATCAATAAACTTTCCATCATTCTCTTAAATCACCTAGGTTTTTTAACAAAGTGTTAGCAAGAATCT